TGTCACACCGTGCTGCTCCATGCCACACCATGTCACACCGTGTTACACCGTGCTGCTCCGTGCCACACTGTGCTGCTCCGTGCCACACTGTGCCACACCATGCTACTCCGTGCCGCACCGTGCTGCTCCATGTCACGCTGTGCTACTCGTCACACCACACCACACTGCACCATGCCACACCGTGCTACACTGTGACATGCCACGCTACACCGTGTCACACCGTGCTGCACCATGTCACACCGTGCTGCTCTGTGCCACACCGTGCTGCTCCATGCCACACCGTGCCACACCGTGCTGCTCTGTGCCACACCATGCCACTCCGTGACATACCGTGTCACACCGTGCTACTCCATGTCACACCATGCTACTCCATGCCACACCGTGCTGCTCCGTGTCACACCATGCTGCTCCATGCCACTCCGTGCCACACCGTGCCACACCGTGTCACACCATGCTGCTCCGTGCCACACCATGCCACTCCGTGCCACACCGTGCCACACCATGCTGCTCCGTGTCACACCATACTGCTCCGTGTCACACCATGTCACACCATGCTGCTCCATGTCACACTGTACTGCTCCGTGCCACACCGTGCTGCACTGTGTCACACCGTGCTACACCATGTCACACCGTGCTGCTCCATGTCATACCGTGCTGCACCATGTCACACCACACTGCACTGTGCCACACCACACTGCACCATGTCACACTGTGCTACACCGTGTCACACCACCCTGTGCTGAACTGTGTCACCCTGTGCTGCACTGTCACACCACACCACACTGCACCATGCCACACCGTGCTACACTGTGACATGCCACGCTACACCGTGTCACACCGTGCTGCACCATGTCACACCGTGCTGCTCTGTGCCACACCATGCTGCACCATGACACACCGTGCTGCTCCATGCCACACTGTGCTGCACCATGACACACCACACTGCACCGTGTCACACCGCACCGTGCTGCACCATGTCACACCACACTGCACCGTGTCACACCATGCCACACCATGTCACACCGTGCTGCACCGTGACACACCGTGCTGTGCTGTGTAACATCACACCATGCTGCACCGTGTCACCCCATGCTGCACCGTGTCACACCATGCTGCACCGTGTCACACCATGATGCACCTTGTCACACCGTGCTGCACTGTCACCCCAAACCATGCTGCACTGTGTCACACCACACTGCACCGTGTCACACCATGCTTCACCGTGTCACACCATGCTGTGCCATGCCACACCGTGCTGCACCGTCACACCACACCGTGCTGCTCCGTGTCACACCACGCTTCACCGTGTCACACCATGCTTCACCGTGTCACACCATGCTGTGCCATGCCACACCGTGCTGCACCGTCACACCACACCGTGCTGCTCCATGTCACACCACGCTGCACCGTGCCACTCCGGCACCAGCCTGGTCCGCCCTGACCTGTAGGCGGGTACAGCCGCGCCGCGGGTGCGCGTGTTGCACACGGGCGTTACAGCCCCGAGATGCCTCCAGCTCACCCAGTTTTTCCCAGCCCTTCCTGCCTCCCAGTAGCTAAACCAGTGCCGGTCACACCGGGTGGCGCCCCCCTGCCGGTCCCTTTGGCGGGTGGGGGTGAGGCACAATCCTGCAACTCTTTTGGGGCAATCAGAGGGGTGCGGGCGTGATGCTTGGGGCGGGGGCGCAGGGTGCCCCGCGTGGTTTCTCCCTGCCGCGCCGCTCACCCGTGCCCCCCCCCGTGCCTTGCAGGAACGCCAAGAAGGAAGGGGACCTGCTGACCGCCCAGGCGCGCCTCAAGGATGTGGAGGCTTTGCTTAACTCCAAGGAGGCCGCGCTCTCCACGGCCCTGGGCGAGAAGAGGAATCTGGAAACCGAAGTGCGGGACCTGAGGGCGCAGGTGGCCAAGGTGAGCGGTGGTGGCCCTGTCCCCAACTCCTCCAGGGCCCCCCCCCCTAGGTCCCCTCTGTGCCAGGGGACTGTGGGGCGGAGGCGCGGCTGGGCGGTGGGTCCCGGGCAGTCCCCAGGAGCCAGCCGTGATGGTCCTTCCCAATTCCCTGCAGCTGGAAAGCGCCTTGGGAGAAGCCAAGAAGCAGCTGCAGGATGAGATGCTGCGCCGCGTGGATGCCGAGAACCGGCTCCAGACGCTGAAGGAAGAGCTCGAATTCCAGAAGAACATCTACAGCGAGGTGAGATGTGATGTGCCACTGCCCTCCCAATGTATGTGGTGTCCCCATCCCCAAGCTGATCCCACCCCGAGGTGACACCGTGTCCCCCTGACCTGTCCCCAGGAGCTGCGGGAGACCAAGCGCCGCCACGAGACCCGGCTGGTGGAGATCGACAACGGGCGGCAGCGGGAGTTTGAGAGCAAGCTCTCCGAAGCCCTGCAGGAGCTGCGGAGCCAGCATGAAGCCCAGATCAGGCTTTACAAGGAGGAACTGGAGAAGACCTACGGGGCGAAGGTGAGCAGCACCCGTGCACCGCTGTCCTCTGCCGACGCTGCCCTGCGGCGTGCCGGTGGGGTGCTGGGGGTGCTAACCCACCCGTCTCGTCCTCCAGCTGGAGAACGCCAAGCAGTCGGCCGAGAGGAACAGCAACATGGTGGGTGCTGCCCACGAGGAGCTGCAGCAAACCCGCATCCGCATCGACAACCTCTCCTCCGAAGTCAGCCAGCTGCAGAAGCAGGTGAGTTCGGGACCAAGGGATTCCTCTGGACATGTCCCCCCTGCCCCCAGCGGGAGATGGTCCCCTTTTGGGGATGGCTCCAAGTGGAGCAACCACCCTCACCTTCCCTCCCCACGCAGTTGGCCGCCAAGGAGGCGAAGTTGCACGATTTGGAGGATATTCTGGCCAGGGAACGCGAGACCAACCGGCGCCTGCTCTCCGACAAGGAGCGGGAGATGGCCGAGATGCGGGCACGCATGCAGCAGCAGCTGGATGAGTACCAGGAGCTGCTGGACATCAAGCTGGCCCTGGACATGGAGATCAACGCCTACCGCAAGCTGCTGGAGGGCGAGGAGGAGCGGTGAGCGTGGGGCACTGCGGCCGGTGGGCTATGGGGGTCCCAGCCCTTCGTGTCCTCACTGGCTCCATCTCACCTTCTCCTCCTGCCCAGGCTGAGGCTGTCCCCCAGCCCGTCCTACCACAAAGGGGCATCCCGGAGCCACTTGTCCACCCCGGGCTCCTCCAAGAAGAGGAAGCTGGAGGACAGCGAGAGTCGGACCAGCTTCTCCCACCACGCCCGGACGAGCGGCCGCGTCGGCGTGGAGGAGGTGGACTTGGAGGGCAGATTCGTCCGTCTCAGGAACAAGTCCAACGAGGTGCGTTTGCCTTCGGTGGAAGGTCCCTGGGGGGGGAGTTGAGCCCCACTTCACCCCACGAGCGTTTGCCTTCGGTGGAAGGTCCCTGGGGGGGGGAGTTGAGCCCCACTTCACCCCACGGGCAAGAAGTGAACCGGGACAAGCTGGGGAGACATGGGGGGATTTCAGGGTCGCTGCTCCCTCTCTCGCAGGACCAGTCGTTGGGCAACTGGCAGATCAAGCGGCAGAACGGGGATGATCCCCCCATCACCTACCGCTTCCCCCCGAAGTTCACCCTGAAGGCTGGCCAGGTGGTCACGGTGAGTCCCTGCCCAGCGGAGGATCCAGCCGAGACCCCAACCCCGTTGGTGCTGTGGAGCAGTTGGTGCCGGTTCCTTGCCACGGGGCTTTTTTGGGGGGGGACCGGCCCACGTCCCTGGGGTCTGGGCTCTGCAGATCTGTGACGTTGCTTTTCTCTTTGCTTTTCTCCCTAGGTCTGGGCCTCGGGGGCCGGGGCGACCCATAGCCCCCCCAGCAACGTGGTGTGGAAAGCCCAGAGCAGCTGGGGCTCCGGGGACAGCCTGCGCACTGCCCTGATCAACTCCAACGGGGAGGTGAGAGCCCGACGGCAGCACCGGGGCGCCCAGGGGCTCGGCAAACACCCAACCCCCTCAACCCTTTCCCTGTCCCCCGCAGGAGGTGGCCATGCGGAAACTGGTCCGCACGGTGATCATCAACGATGAAGATGAGGACGAGGACGACGATGAAGTTAACATCCACCACCGCCATCACCACGTGAGTACCGTGCTGGGGAAAGCGCCGGCCCCAGGGGGGCTGGGGGAGCTCGGGTCTGGTCCCAGGCAGGGCGGGAGGCAGCTCAGCATCGCACAGGATCAGGCCTTAGAGGAGAAGGCAGTTGGGAGGCTGCTGTGGGAGCAACCACATGGGAGAAGCCAACAGACCTCTGGCACCTGGAGAAGGCTACTGCATGCCAAAAGAGCTCCAGGGACCTTGCTGGAAGTCATCTCCAACCCTGAGCAACCTTGCCCTGCCGCCGAAAGGGCTGGAGGAGCCGGGAGGGGGGCTGAGCTGGTACCTCGCATCGCTTGGAGGTGGAGGTCGAGGTGGTGGGCAGCTGATGGACGACACTTCTCCGCAGCAGCTGCTCCATCCTCTCCACTTCACCAGGGTGCTGGACCAAATCCAGGGGTGACTTTGTCCTTCCTCCCCGCCCATCACTCCCCTCACAGAGCTGAAATGGGCACCCGGAAGAGGGATCTGTCTTGCACACCAGATGCCCGTGGGAGTCGTGTGTGGGGAGATGCCGTCACCGCCACGCTTGTGCCTCAGCACCGGCGAAAAATCCGCCAGAGGCCACTCCCCGGGGCTCTGGGCGACAGGAGTGGGATGGGGCGCCCATCATCCCGCTTTCCTCGGAGTTCCTGGGATCTGAAGAGCCGTGCCGAGACGGATATCGATTATCCCTGGGTGGAGGAGCCAAGCTCCTGCAGGCCAGGGCTGCCCAAAGGCTGAATCCTTTCCAAGAGCGAATTTCCCATTGGGAAACAATGCTCACCCGGGCAGCGAGGAGGAGGATGCTCGTAGCCAAGGACAAGAGAAGCACAATTAAGATGTCTCCTGCATGCTGAGGGGGCAGCAGGGACAGTTCACCCATCTGCCGTGTGCCAGCCCCAGTAATTCGGGATTCTACATATAATAATAATAATATTTTGTGACGATGGAGGGGATGGGCAGACCCTCTTTGAAGCCCAACTTTGAGCCCTCCTGGGTCACCCCGGTGCTGCCGTGGTCCTCGGGGCAGGGTGCTCCAGGAAGAAGATGTTCAGGTGGGGGCTGAAGGTCATTTTGTCTCTCCCCCCCCCATATCTAGGGTAGCTGCGGTGGCCCTGGGGACCCCGGTGAATACAACCTCCGCTCGCGCACGGTGGTCTGCGGCACGTGCGGTCAGCCGGCTGAGAAGTCAGGCAACCAGAATGCTGGCCTCAACACCATGTCCTCGGGCTCATCCACTTCCAGCGTGACCGTCACCCGCAGCTACCGCAGCATGGGTGACTCCGGCAGCATCGGCCTTGGGGACAGCCTGGTGACCAGGTCCTACCTCCTGGGGAACTCCAGCCCCCGTAGGCAGGTCAGTGCCGCTTCCAGACACTCTCCCTCTGCTGCTGGGTCTCCACGTTGTCCCTCTGCTGCTGGGTCTCCACGTTGTCCCTCTGCTGCTGGGTCTCCACATTGTCCCTCTCCTGCTGGGTCTCCACGTTGTCTCTGCGTCACCCTTCCTCAACAAGGCAACGCTGCGGGGGGGTCCCTTCCCCTCCTTCCTCTCTGCTTTTCCTCTTGCCCCCCGGCACCGTCGGGCTTGCACGAGCCTTTTTGGAAGGGGAGTGTGGAGTCTGAGCGGGATCAGAGGAGGATGTGGCCGTAGCATCTCCCCCACCCCATCCCACGCTCAGCCCCCTTGGCAGCCCCAGAGCATCCCTCATCCTCCTCGCCTCCCGTTCCGCCACCGCCACGCATTATTCCCGCTGGTCACCTGAATATTTCAGCACTCCAATGTCAATACCCCCAACGATCCCCCTCATATATTGCCTCTAACTCTCAAATTCCTGATTTCTGTGCTATAAAGCCCCCAGCCACCGGCCGGGGCGGACGAAAGCCAGGGGCACGCATGGGCCGGGGCATCCTGAGGGTCCCGCTGGGACGTCGCTGCCTCCGTGGGCAGCCAGAGCAAACGGGTAACGCTGGGTTATTTTGAATTTTCTTCTTTTTTCTTTTCTTCCAGGCTCAGGCTGTGCAAAACTGCAGCATCATGTAACTCCGTGGCACCATTCCTGTGTTTCCTGGCCGTCTTGTGCTAGTTTTTTTCCCAAAGCAAACGAAATTTTTTTTTGGTTTTTTTTCCTTTAAAAAAAAAAACTATATCAAAAACCAAGGTTGGTTTTTTTGTTTTGTTTTCTATAGCAGGAATTTTATATTATATATATATATAACAAAGTGCTAAAAGATGCTTTGATTTTTTTTTTTTTTTTGAAAAAAAAAAAAATTTTTTTTTATAAAAAAAAAACAAAAAAAAAAAAAACCTTTTAACTTTCAACA